ATTGCTTAAAATATTTTTAGTTGAGGATGTGGATACATCTGCGGGGATTCTACTTTTTCTGTGATCTCATGGGCTTCACCTAGTCTAGAACGGTTTTATAGGAATGATCTGCTTATTGGGGAGATACTGCGGATGGTGAGGAAACCTGTATCCTCTCAAAATCCATCAAAGTAATAACACTAAATTTCCTTTCCACGTTGGTAATTTAAGGTGCATATCTGAGAGTGTCCTCTTTGACATACCATATTAGATTATGGCCTCTTATTACATGAATGGTTAAAATGTAGAAACTGGTGGCTGTATATGCATGACAGAAGATTATCTGAGTAGATTGTCTGAGTTGGATGTGAGGGCTACAGCTGATTCAGGCATTTAGAAAAAAAAAAAACATCTAGACCTAGTTATAGATGCACAGGTGTGGGTGGATGTCATGGGTGCCACTGCACTGCAGGCTCCCTGGGAATGCTTGGGTGTGGGTGGATGTCATGGGTGCCGCTGCACTGCAGGCTCCCTGGGAATGCTTGGGTGTGGGTGGGTGTCATGGGTGTCGCTGCACTGCAGGCTCCCTGGGAATGCTTGGGTGTGGGTGGGTGTCATGGGTGCCGCTGCACTGCAGGCTACCTGGGAATGCTTGTGTGTGGGTGGGTGTCATGGGTGCCGCTGCACTGCAGGCTCCCTGGGAATGCTTGGGTGTGGGTGGGTGTCAACGGGTGCCGCTGCAGTGCAGGCTCCCTGGGAATGCTTGGGTGTGGGTGGGCGTAATGGGTGCTGCTCCACTGCAGGCTCCCTGGGAATGCTTGGGTGTCATGGGTGTCGCTGCACTGCAGGCTACCTGGGAATGCTTGGGTGTCATGGGTGCCTCTGCACTGCAGGCTCCCTGGGAATGCTTGGGTGTGGGTGGGTGTAATGGGTGCCTCTGCACTGCAGGCTCCCTGGGAATGCTTGGGTGTGGGTGGGTGTCATGGGTGCTGCTGCACTGCAGGCTCACTGGGAATGCTTGGGTGTGGGTGGGTGTCATGGGTGCTGCTGCACTGCAGGCTCCCTGGGAATGCTTGGGTGTGGGTGGGTGTCATGGGTGCCTCTGCACTGCAGGCTCCCTGGGAATGCTTGGGGGAAATTAGACCTCCATTAGAGTGACTGGTCTGTATATGCAGCTACCCAGTGTAATGGCCTTTGAATCCACTTTTGTCCATCAATTTTCTGAAACTACTTTTCCTGTTCAGAGTCACTGGGGGTCCAGAACCTATAGGCACAAGGCAAGGAACAGTCCAGAATGGGGTTCCAGCCCATTGCAGGCCACACTCATACAAGCATACACACGGGCAATTTTAATTACTCATTGGATACTATAGCATGTTTTTGGACTGTGGGGGAGGGGGACTGGAGTGCCCAGCAGAGCCCCCACAACAACTTGTGGAGAACATAGAAACTCCACACACAGAATGCTGATGGGGACTTGAACCCTAGTCTCAGAGGTGTGAGGCAACAGTGCTACCCACTGCAGCACTGTGCCTCCCTCCACTGTAGTTTTCACTGGTTTTCAGTGTCCAAGAGTGATGCATAGTGAGTCATGTTATATCTACCTGATGCTGATATTCACCTGATTCCTTATTTTAGAGAGTAAGAATGAAGGAAAATCAGGGGCCAGCTAACTGATAAATGGTGATTGGAACTCATGCAATATGGGAATCTTTTATGGAAAATGCCTGTTATCCCATGACAAGGTGATGATGCATGTTCAATATACCTAATATATAAATGATATATTGGATATATTGGGGTACAGCGTATGGCTCAGTGGGCTAAGCCTGTGTGCCTGTAATCTCAAAGTTGCCGGTTTAAACCCAGCCTCAGCATGTCTGCGGATCCGTGAGCAAGGCCCTTAACCCCCAGCTCCCTGGGTGCCCCGACAGGTGGCTGCCCTTCACAGACAGCTTACTCTACAAAGAGCAAGTTGAGGGAGGCATAAAGACAATTTCCCCATGGGGATCAATAAAGTATCAATTATTATTATTATCTCTACCACATGAAATCATCCAGTATTTAATATAGCAACATTATTGTGTTTTTTTTTCCCTTCATTTTCATACACGTAGGTGTGAGTACTAAACTAAGGGCCATGTGTTGTTATTGAGAGTAAACTGTGAAGACATCTGCAATTAAAGACGCTCTGCCTCTAGTATGTAATAGGTAACCTATCAGAAAAACCCCTGTGTCCTGTCCTTGGAACATAAGTGATTCTGACATCATTCATTGAAGCAGTAAGAAGAAAATTGTTACAATCTGGTATGCCGGTCCTGGAAAAAAAAGAGCTTCTCTGATTGGCTGTTGCTCCTCTACATGGTTTATGAACCCAGCAAGGAAGACCATTGATGTAGCCAGTGGTCTCTTCTGCGGTTGGGGTTGCGGAGCTGAAGGTGTCCCTTTGGCAGAGATAAAACCACAGTGGCAAATGCCCCAGTTTTAGACAACAGAGTGCTGGCACAGATCCTGCCCAGAGCCCGAGTATGAAAACGGACAGAAAACAACGAGAGCAGGTGTCCAATTTTCTGCTGCTGTCCTCTTATCTTTCCTGATGACGGTCTATCTAGGCGGGCAGACAAAGAAACGTTAGAATGTAATCTGGTAACTTTACTCTTCAATCATCCAATTCTGTGGCACTGGCCTGATTTATATTGAATCTCTCAATGTGTAGTAGCACCACAAAGGAAGTACAGAATTGAGTAACTTGCCTGATTAAAAGGGCTTTTCTTTATACTTCTTCAACCGATTCACTCACTAAAGACACAAATAATCTCAGGTTTTCCATTAGGGAATATCTAAGCAGAAAGACTAAACAGAAAATGAAAATTAATTAACCGTCGCTGCAGGAGTTAACGATTAAATATATTAATACACTGAAAATCATGCAATAATCATGTACTGAAAAATGATGTGTTGCCACAGCTTTACAATATTATCATAATTTAAATATCCAATGTGTATTTAAAATTCAAATCATACTTAGAGATATAGATGCCCATGAACAAAAAGGCTGCAAAGCTGTCATTGCAATAAAACAATTATGTCTTATTATAAAGTCATTTAATACCAATGATGTTAATATAGTTCCAAAATAGTCACTAAAATGGTTCCAAAGGAAGTCATGTAGAAAAGATGTAGGAGCGGTATCATAGTGACTGCTATACACTGACTCTCATGTGCAAACTGGTGGACAGATGTAGGAACGGTATCATAGTCACTGCTATACACTGACTCTCATGTGCAAACTGGTGGACAGATGTATTTGCTCCTCTTTAGACATTTGCATTTCTCATGAGAGGAAGATAAAACGTCATGTTCCCTCAGTTCCATCTTCTGATGCTGGATTCCCCTAAGGTTAGGGATGGCCTGTATTAACTGTGCATATAGATCAAATCCTGAACTAAACAGTCAGAGAGAAGGACTTGAACCGTCCATTTTATAAATCTTAAATTATAATCTTCATGGTGCATTCAAGTGTACTTATTTAGTCACGACCTGCATAGCCGATTTAATTAAAGTGTAAATTTGACTTTCTTAAGTGGCCTTCCCTAGAATCTTCCTTTCTGAAACGTACATTGATTTAACATTAATGTCATAACTAGTTCAAGTTTAGCAAATTTTGCATTTAATGGTAAGACATATTTTTGTAGGTATTCCCAAAATCTACAATGAAGTGTTTGGAGGCTTAAAGGATCTTGCTGTAATTATTCCCAAGGCAGTACTACTCTAAAACATAAACTAAAATTTAATTACATAATGCCTTTTTAAAAAAAAATATTTACACTGTAAGCCTCAGGATAACCCACTTCAAAGGTGACGAATGCCAGCGTGCTCGCTCTGCCACCGTCGGTTATGGGGATGTGGTCTGTAATCTGCTCATGAAAGGTCACCCCCGAGAGCTGAATTATTATGCTACTTTTCATCTCGCTGTGCGCATTAGCGGAAGGGCCCTGTCTTTCCTTCGTAGGTCCTAAGGCAGTGCTGCATCAAAAGCTTACTTTGCCAAGCCTTGGAAGATGGCAACTCCATCACAGAGACTCACTGTTATCAGTATCATTTCATGCTACAACGATGCACTTCTGAAATGTGTTTGCTGCCCTTCAGGTTTTAAATTAATTTAATTGGTTTATCTTGCAAGGAAAAGCTATGAAAGGTTTTTTACTCACAGATCATTTTATAGTAAAATTAGTGGATTTGACATGCGTTTTGTTCTTCTTGTTATAACAACGTTATCAATATGCCAGAAATAGAAAAGGTTGCAATATTTTTCATGAAGGCTCCTGTTTACTCTTGTGTAGATTCATTTGCATAAACATCAAAATTCCAGGACAATTAAAACAATGCACAGTATCATAATATTAATAATAAACTGTGGCAATAATGTATCAGCATTTTACTGAACTTGCTTACCAGATTTACTTATTGCAGGATTTTAAAGCAGTGTTAGTTGAAGACAACCAGATCTTGGATCTTTGGCAGCTTCAAAAATGACAGGATAACGAGTCACAACAACAAGAAATGTTGCCTACATCAGTCCCCAGGGTAACAGTGTCTGCAAAACAAGTTGTGATCATATGATGAAACTGCCGCTGCAACTCAGACAAATGACTCTTCAGTACTCTCTGCGTAAATAATAAAAAAAACACAGACACACCTGGGTACTGATGTCTGAGAAAAGCGATGTCTTGAAAGAATTCTAGAACATGCTTTGTGTTTACCTTTCTAACCCTATCTGAATGGCTTGTTGTCCCTTCTGGGGAGAAATGCCTCAATGCAGTGCAACAATAATGGAAATGTATAGCATTTGCTTATACTGTTAATTAATTGGTTAATTATCTATAACATGGGTGGTTCTTTATATAATGTTATGTGATTTATGATTTTTGACAACCCTTATGAGGTTTGTGACAGTTTCTTTGTACCAGCATTTCCTCTATTTCTTAGGTGATTGGTAAATGTAATCTTGTTCTTTTCAGGTAGTTTTCAGTTATGTAGAGTGTTTCGCTCCCACGCCATGGAAGTCGACCAGCGTCTGCTGGACACATTGCCCCTGGGCCAGCTGATGCTGAGGCGGGTCCGCTGTGACCAGATACAGGCCTACTATGAGCGAGAGAAGGTCTCACAGAAGCAGATGGAGCCCAAGAAGATGCAGAAAGTCACTTTTCCCAAGTCAGACCTTCTCCAGGAGGCCATTGTACATCACAACCATAAGGAAGGTAAGTTATACCCATATAGAGCCACATATACCAGTGGTTCTCAACCTTTTTTGCACTGCGACCCAATGTTTACCATGCCAGGTCAGTCGCGACTCTATATCAAGTATAGGTTTAAATTAATGCTGTGATCAAGCATGCAGTGCACTCTGCAATTTACTCCAATCAATGCCTGTCGCACAAATCTGATTGGATGTGCCAATGAATTTTAAATTAAGCGTCTGTGGTTTGGCTTCTTGGATTGGTCGAGTGTTCATAAGTTTTGCGCTAAACAGTATAGGTCAATTCTAGGATTGGGGCTGGGAAATCTGATTCCGGATCAGCATAGGAGCTTGCTGGTTTTAAAATGCTCACATTTCCAACTCTGCCCCACAACCCATTCAGAACTTGCTCCAACCCAAATTTGGGTCATGACCCATAGGTTGAGAATCGCTGATATAGAGTATAGAGCAGTTGGTGATATCTTTTTCTATTCTATCCCTTTCATTAAATAATGCATATGTTGCTGTTTTATTCTTTTGCCTCTTCTTTAGTGTGATATGACTTCCTTATTGGGCTCAAAGCTGCATGCTGTCAGCACTTCATGACTAATAGAATTATCACATCTTACAAACAGCACATGCAGATTATTACAGCATTTTGGGCACAGCATGATAATTAAATTCAGTTCTTTTATTGTCATGTGTACAAGTACGAGTACCGTGTACAATGAAATGCTTACTTGCATGTGCTCCTGCAGACAGTGAACATAGACAACAAGACGGATAGACAACAGGATGACAAGTGAATGAATGATAAAGTGAATTATAAATAAGTAAATAAATAAGACCAAAATCACAGGAATAAACAGAGGGTGACTCTAAGGAACCTAAAGCTGCTGACCTGCTCCACAGCCTCACCTCCCATGTAAACGGGGCTGTGCTCTGTTGCCTGTTTGCGGAATTCCACAATCATCTCCTTAGTAAAGGCGATTTGCTAAAATTCATCTTCACAAAGGAATGAAAAGGCTCCTGTCAGGCAAGGTTCCAGATGAATATCAAATTGGCAACTAAATGACATATGATGGACAAAAGATTTTTATCTCTGTGTATAGTATTGTGTGCGGCATTGTGGAGCACGGACATCGGGCTGTTGCTTTAAACTGTGGAGACAATGAGCTGCTAGAGTGACAGTTTTGATGATTTCTCTCTAATGCTTTCTTGTCTTTGCTTGTCATATTTCAAATATGCAATTTTTGAGTACAGTGAGTTTTAAGTCCCAGTCTTTGGCTGATTAGTGGTGTATGGTCATGAAGACCTTATTGGTGACACTTTCTATGAATGCCATGTCTTTAAGAATCTATGAACACATTCATAACACATTAAGATGCATCTGTAACACATTTTAAACATAGCTGTAAGTATTTATAAAAACAGCATAACACATTAGAGTCATATTTTTTATATATTATGAATGCTTTATCAAGTTCTCATCTATAATGCACATTAGATACCTTCATAATGCAACACAAAGCATCCCTAACTATACTGATCATTATCATGCATCATGTGGGTACCTACAGTATATGGCATTATAGATTTTTAGTTTCATTGGAGCTTATGAAGTATTATAATCAACACTATAATGACTTATGACTGTCAATAGAAGATGGTGCAATGCTTTATTAATTCTTATACTGACCATTATAATGCATTACGAAGGTATTTTTTATTATTAAGCGAAGTGTTACCACCTTATTTAATGCAGTACAGCAATAAGGATGCATTTAGCCCCATATTTGTCTCAGGGACCTTTGTATCTTTAAAAGCTGGCTTTGCCGCTTCTGCCACAGTCAATTCATGCTGATTTATATCATCCCTCGCAGCATCCACAGCATGTCAATATTTAGCTCTCTTTGGCAGCCATTATAGTCCAGTCTGCATCAGAGACCAGCTGGTTTGCTCACTGGTATCCTGCAGAGTCTTTGGCTGAAAGGGCCTCAAAACTTTTACCATCCTAATAGTTGCTCACCAGGTCCAATGATAAATGGTTTCCTGTAAAGCCTATTATTTGCCGTAGCCAATGTTTTCCAAGAAGCATCTTAAGTGTAATATGGATTCAACCCAGGTCCTTTCCATGCCAAGTTCTGAATGGTAGATGAAATTGCGAACTGGTAGCAGACAGATTTGCAGCGGAACCACCCATGTAATGTCCGTGTTCTTTAATGAGTGTCTCTAATGTGTCGTTACTGAAACACTACACCAGTACAAAAGAATTTGGGTAGCATCACTCATTCATAGTTTGGGAAAAAAAATCATACAAACATAAATGCATTTTATGATTTCTTGACATAATGAAAGAGGGATGTAAAATCAGAAGGATTTAAGACGTCTTGCTGGAATTTTACTGGATGATTTAAGAAACCTATCTCAATTTTTTACCAGCCACTGTATCTACCAGAAAATGAGATGAGTGTACACATCCCACACACTGTCGGCTACACCAGGATGAGGCGTGAAGGAAAATTCTTGGTCTGACACTTTCTGGGAAATACTTACTTCTAGTATGAGTAATCCCAGCCATCAACAATATTATAGAAAACAATTATTAAATGAATAAAAATAGGTTCTTAACAAGTTTTTTCTACTAAAGAATCTGAACCTTTTCTGCTATAATCTTCAGAATTTTGTCACTAGATTTCTGTGGCTATCAGTTTTAAACCCTATATGAAGACCACATCAAAACAGTATTTTCACAGTATTTTGTTGGAGAACCAGAGAGTTTATTTTTGTAGACCTGTTTTCAGTGATTGTTATCTGATATACCTTAATGCATTAGCTCCTCTGCTGTGAGAGAACGGAGGGAGGACACCAAAAACATTCCACCCCCATGGGAAGTCAGACATGCAATTACTTCACTGACAGTCTTTTAGGGTTGGGAAAAAAGGCAACGTGAGAGATAATCTTCAAAGTTTTGCTCTGTGGCAGAGCCTAGGATTTCATCCTTTGCATTCTGTCATCAGTGTCTCCATCCTTTCCGTTGCTTTTCCTGTAAAAATCTGCTCAGTCATACACTAAACCCTTATGCTTTGAATCAACAAGAGGAGTCTTCTGGCTGATCTGAGGGTTTGCAAGTTGTAGAGCAATTTCCAATATGTCAGACCTTGAACATGCCCCTGACATATGGATATCACCAAAACACAGCACAAGCCTTGCCTAGTAAGATTGCCTATTAATGTATTCAAGCAGATAGTGGAAGTGATCACATAGAATTAAGTCAGAAACTAAAATATAATGCCGACCAGTTGGTAAGGTTGTCCAGTATTCAGTAGTAAGTGCATGATTATTTTGTGTAGCAGTGGAGTGTAGTTGTGTAACAGTAGAGCTAGCAATGTAGCCTGAAATCTCCAGGGTTGTGGGATCAGTTTGTAGGTGTGGAGCTTGCTACCCAATAGATAAAAACTGGAAAATAGTGTATAAACCTTGACGCAATCTTGAGTAGATTATACCAAAGCTCCTTGCCTGGATCTTAATTGGGGTCACGGAACCGTCAATGCTGGTCTATGACGCCTGTGGGCCCTATTAAGGCCAAATACAGAAAACAACCAACTGCCGCCATTTGAAGTAGATTTGGTGAATGATAAGGGATTTTATCTGTCAGGAGAAGGCAGTGAAGATGCTCATTATGGAAAGGTCAAGGTGAAAGTTAAGTAAGATGCCCACATCTTAAGTCTTGCACAACACACCCCCCCCCCCCCCCCCCGACAAGTAAAGTTGCATCAGCTTTCATTCAACCAACTACCTGCAAATGGGGAGGTCTGAGAATGTTATTGAACATAATGGAGTTGGATGGGATGGCTAGCAGAAGATTAATGGCATTACAGAAGCAAAAGTGAGGACGTGTCATCAATTAGTCGGAAGGCTGACACTAAGCGGCTGTTAGGTATCTAGCGGGGGGTCTTGTCTTCCTCTCATATGCCACGTCAGATCAGCCAGAAGATCCACTGCACCATGAGTCCACTGCACGCTGTCATGTCTGAAGAGGACCATAACATGCTGAGTGAATGTAAACCCTGTGTTATAAATGTCAGCCATTTCAGGGTCATTACCCGTTAATATTGGCTGCCTCCCAGGATTTTAGTGTTGTCAGTATCCTGGAAAAGCTCTGGAGAATGTTTTTGTGCAATCTCACCATCGCCCAGCTGGTCTCTGTGAGCACACATTATAACTACACAGTCACAGCCTGTTTGATGATTTCAAGCATAAAATCACACTCTGCCTTCTGGCTTCGGCACACCTTCTTTTTTGCACTTTCTGAAGAGAAAACTGGGGCAGGTATACTCATGCTCAGCACAATGCATTATGGGTAAACTCTTGTGCTCATATTACTCCCAATCTCTTCATATTCAGACTGATGGCCTGTGTTTACTGTCACAGATGGGTGTAGTTACCCGAACCATGATTATATTCTGCCAAATTAACTGAATGAAAAAAGTGTAGGCGAGTAGCACTGACAGACCATAAAATGTCTGAAAAGATACAAAATTCTGCATTTATTTGCCACTTTGTACCATTTCAGTTGTTCTATTGAAAGTAATTTATCCAGTAAACAACAATAGCTTCATTATATTGGATATTAATTGTAAAATGATATATGTAATTTTATTTATATCTGCCAGCCTTCTTTTGAATCTGCACACCCAAATAAGTAATACATAAAGAAGTATTTATAGTCTAGGAGGATTTGCAACAGAATTTCGCAAACGCCTTACACTGCCGTCTTGGTGCATTGTCAGTAATGGTAATTACTCCAAGCATAAGTATGCAAGCAAGTCAAATAGGGCTTCATTGTCTCACCAGTCATATTCGGTACACTGCTTTTGGTGATGTGAAGCTCGTGAGAGTTTTACTTACAAAAAAATGTTCTGGCAGAAGGAACAATGATTGGTTCAGAGAGACAGCCAATCACATTGTAGAGGAGGCAGGGCCAAGACATCTGCTTGGACCCACCTCCCTCATTTTTCCTTCTGCCCTCTAAACATTTTTGTGTAAGTAAAACTCCCATGAGCTGATGTGAATTTATGCTTTATATAACATTATATAAAAGCTAAATTAATATAACAAAATACAAGCAAACAATGTAAAGAGAGAACGGATATTACTGGATGTGACGCATACAGATTGAAAGCAAAATGGATGTGAGCTGCCTGCTGTCCGACATGGGGGTATCGTTAATTATTTGGATTTTCAAACATCGTGGGTGACACTGAAGCAAATGAAGCGAAGTCTGGATGTTTTTCTTTGTTTCTGTTTCTGGGTGGTGCAGAGCAGGGCTGCATTGGATGGCACTGTGGCTTCTCCCGTCCAGGCTAATTCCTTTCATTCCGGACCCCATCTGTGTGTAGTTTTCTTGTTCCCCCTCGTCCTTGTGAATTCTCCCCTGGTACTTCGGTTTTCTCCAGCAGTCCAAACACATGCAGTTGAATTGGTGATTCTAAAAAGCCTTAGTGTGACTGTTCTTGAGTGAGCATGTGCATTTTCACTGGCATTCTGTCCAAGGTGACCCCATCTATGCCCTAGGCCTCCTAGGATAGACTCTATACACTGCAACTGTTTACTGAATGACTGCTTATGGAAGATAGGGAGAAGGTACTGTGATTTCATGGTATGTAATACCTGCACTGTAATAGCATTGAGATTAGCACTGTAAAATGGATGCTATTTTTTTCATTTGATCCTATTCTAGTGCTACTGCTCACAGACATGCACAGAGAAACACGCACACACACACGCACATAGAAACACATGCGCACACAGACACACACACAGACACACACACACGCACACACAGACACGCACACACACGCACGCACAGACCTGTACTGTCAGACCGTCCATTCATTTCTATGGGCAAAATCGAAATCCCAACAATGACAACCTTAACCCCTTACCCAGCCCTAACCAATACCATAAGTAAACAAACAAAATACAAAACTTTTGGCATTTTTAGTTTTATGATTGCAGTCACAGATTTCTATAAAATTGAATTTCCCCTTCTGGGGACTGAAAAGGTGGTCCCCACAATGTCAAAATAACAGTTTTTTTTATCACATGATTGGGACATTTGGTCCCCACAATGTAATCTATACATGACCCACACACACACACAAATACACTTTTTCCATATTATAGTCCAGTGGTTCTCAAAGACTCCTCATTTGTCCTTCGTAATTAAGTCACGACCCCCAAAAACGTTGTTGACACTGCCATAGACCGTAATGCACAGAGAGTGATTGAACTTCCAGCGCTGCTCAACAAAAAGTGGCAGTTTTTTTTTCCAGTTCCTTATGAAAGATCTGGGTCAGCCAGTACTTCAAGGGAAGCATTTACCAAGTGTGGAGTGGAGAGGCAGCGTGCAGTTATCTGAACGAGCAGCAACACATGGTTTCTCCACCTCCTGCAAGCACAGCTTAGCCTTGTACAGCCTCTTATCTTCGGAAAAAAGAAGGGGAAAAAAAGCCAACCGCGATTGTAATTAGCTATAATAATTACTGCGGGTTTAATTCGAGAAAGTGACGATGATTGAGAGTGTTGTCGATTGTGGCTCAATGTGTCTTGTGTGACAGCTACATAATATCTGCTCTCTAATGAAGCGATTGGCGCGCGATGTCACTGTAGCTCTTTGATGTTTTGTTTGATGTTGCAGTCCTGCAGCTGCTGAGGGATGGAGTCGACCCCAAAACCATCATTCCCTCTGGAGGGTCCCTGCTTCATCTGGTAGGGACTTGACGCAGGTCGCCCCTGTGCATGCATTTGTTGCTTGGTACCGTGAAAAATTATGTACCGTAAACCACTGGATTCCTGCCTGCTATCAAGGCTCTGCTTCTGTCTTATCGGTTCCGGCCAGTACAGGCACAATTTCACATCCCTGCCCAAACCAGTTCCCCACACTGCTGACTAGATGGTTATTCCTGAATACTATCAGAACTACAGCTTGGACCCATTCTCCAACCTTGACCACGCTCATATCATCACTGCACTTTTTATCTCTCAGTTGAACGTTGATATTCAAGGTCAACCACCATTATTGCTACTGTCTGAGTAAATGCTCTAAATCTCATCTCTGGAAAAAATGGAGAGGTGTGCAAATGAATATACCTCAGGAGTGTAACTGGAGCTCCTATTTAGACTGCTTTATCTTTCTCATGAACTGTTTGAGATATTCCTTTGAATCCCTTCGGGGTCTGCACAGAGAAACTAGGCCACATTACAGGCGGCAGCCAACTATTTCATGGGCAAAAGAATGAACACAGAATAATTTATATTTCAATGTTGATGTTGTAGTGAAACTGCTTAACATTAACGCATGAGATGACTGTAGATTGAGAATGAAAGGTGGTGTGAAACTGTTGCCTGTCATAAAGAAGTGCAAGTAATGCCTGGGGCAGCATGTGGCTCAGTGGGCTCAGCCTGTGTGCCTGTAATCAGAAGGTCGTTGGTTCCAACCCAGCCTCTGCATGTCTGTGGGCCTTTAACCCCCATCACCGTCGGCGCCCCAACAGGTGGCTACCCTTCACAGACAGCTTACTCTACAAAGAGCACAGGCGTAAAAGACAATTTCCCCACAGGGATCAATAAAATGATCAATTATTATAATTTTCCACGTCATTTTTAGGTTAAGAGCAAGCACAAAGAAGGTGAACAGTCTTGTTTTGTATTATAAATCACGAAGGCTTGTACATGATAATTGGAAATGAATGTGTCTGTTTGTGATCAGCAGTGATGCTGTTGTGGGGGGCTGTGCATGCCTTTGTACGTTTGAGCTCTGAAGATGTAATCAGAAGGTCACCAGTTAAAATCCCACGGCTGGCAGGATGCTTTTGCCTTTGGACCCTTGGCCCAGGTTTTTAACCTTAACTTGCTACAGGGACTGGCTGACCTTGCTTTCTCAGTTGTATGTTGATGAATCGACTGCTGTGTAACTATAAAATTAATGCTGAAACAAGCTCTTTTCTGGTGTTAGGAGGTGTTTGTTCGCCTGTGTATCGCTTTATTTCTGTGGTCTTAAATGCGGAGGCTGATTGTTGCCCGATTGACAGTGTGCCCGTCACAACAACGCTCTCGCCGCTGAGGTGCTGATCGCCTGCGGGCTGAGTGTGGACCAGCAGGATGACGACCTCTGGACGCCTCTGCACATGGCCTGTGCTTGCGGGAGCTCGGACTCAGCTCTGCTCCTCCTGACGGTGAGCGCAATCCTGCTCTCTTCTCCTCCTTTTCCTCCATTGTCTACCAATGTCCACTGACAGTGCATGAATCCCTGCTTTCCATAATCTGTCTGCTGGTGGGGTTTTTCCAGATTAAATGTTCTCAAAGCTGTACTATCCATAGTGAACAGCTGTCATATACTCTGGGAAGAGACGCTTTTGCTTTAGTGGGAAAAGCACTGTTGTGTTTTGATGGTTTACAGTTTTTATTGCTGAATTATCCAAGTTATGCTTTATATTTCTTTATGAATATTGTTTTTTTTAATAGACTGGTGATATTAAATGTAGTGTGTGATGCTGCCCACTGGACATAGGTGCAAAGATTTTATGTTAATGTCTTACATTGCTTTAGAATCGTATCTGCTTCATGCTTACTGATTTAATAGGAGTTGTGTCCTTCTCTCAAGGGGGAAGGTAGGTTGATTATTTTGAGTTATCTTAGCATTACAGTACTAAAAGATGGAGCTGGGACTGAATTCTGGGAATTATGCTCTTTATTCATGTTGGGATGTGCAATTACAGTGTCTCGAAGAAGACAGTACTTAAGCACACCACACCGTCACATGCCGCGCCGGGGGTAGGTCACTAATAATGGCTGTCATCGCGTCTCAAGGGACAGCTACCGGCGGGGGTTGTCCTTTTCGTTGCGGTGTGGCACTGGGTGTCTGCGAGTTCAGTTATTGGTTTGTTAGTTTAGAGAAGTGTGGATAGATTCCAGACACATACCCTTCCAACGACTGGAGGCTGAATGCTGTTCAGAGACAGCGGTTGCGGAGGACGTCATGCTGACTGGGCACTGCCGCGCAGGTGTGTGTACCACTGATGGCAGAAATGCTAACACGCATCAGCTTGCAGGAGTGAACAAAACACAGGCCCACGCCTGCTTAGCCACACAAATATCCGTCAGCCACTCTGTGTTTGTGCTCGGGTGAGAGAACTCCTCCGCTGTGGATTGTCAACTTTCCCCTGGAGACAAAGAAAGGGAGAGATGTGCATTTTTGCTACGTGTTTGTGGGGGAAGGCAGCCTTTTACCCCTTGTAATGGGATCAATCTCACCATCAAAAATGCCTTGCAGGTAGTGGTTGGTTACCAGCTGTGCCCCACGTCCATGGTTTGCTGTCACAATTTGAAGTGCAAAGCACAGTTAGGTCATGTGAGAAATATTGATTCATTACAAACACCATGTGGCTGAATACAAAAGGCTGAAATAAATATCTGTAATAACCTAAAATAGTTTCTAGATCTTCATAGCAGTTATGCTTCAGAGTCAAAGACAAAGGACATGGCCTACTTTCTGTAATGTGTTGGTAATGCTTCAGATTATGCTAAACAATATGGACTGACACTCTTAGCAGCAAAATCTCCAGTCAAAATGAATAAAATCATTCATTATTTTTTATTCTCGACGCATAAATCGTCATTCCATCGCGTCTGACATCCTTGTTAATTGTGAGCTGGCCTCCCATCCTACTACCTATGCCAACTTGGCAGAGATATTCCATATTTAATAATAGCTCTTTAGATACTGGGGGGGGGGGTATCGTTGGGAGTTACACAAAAATGTTCTGTGGGCATAACAAAAAATCATTGGTTCACAGAGGAAACCAGTCAGATTGTAGAGGAGGTGGGTCCAAGCAATTATAGGAGGCAGGACCAAGACATCTGATTGGTTGGTCCCGTTTCCTCTAATCTCTTATTTGTTTATGGTTAGTGCGGTTTTTGAGTCTCAAGCCAAACACAAGCAAGGTTTCACGATCACATGACTTTGTGGTCATCTCCCAGTTAGAGCAATCTATGATATGTGATTATCCCAAAGTGACTTTGCTGGCTGGCAAAGGATCAGGGAAGTCCTGGGGATCTATCCTCTCTACAGGAGAGTCTTTCAGCTCCTTACACGCCAACACTCCTGTCATTCATACATGAAATGCAGCCGAAAGCATGATGACAGAGTACGTTTCACTCCATAGTTTCTATTCTGATTCTTTCTTCATTGTCAGCTGATGTGTGATACTACTTAGTCCAACCATTTTGATATAGAAAGATCGCTCAATATCTATTGCTTGTTTGTTCTTGTTTTTTCGCATATGTTTACCTATTTTTAATAAACAAATCATTCATTGTATATTTGGAAGTTGAGAACTGATTTTGTTGCATCAATAATCAAGGTGTTTTGTTTGAAGGATGGAACAGAACTTTGGCTTTGAGTTTCTGTCAAGTTGCAAATCCTCCCCTTATTTATCAGAACTTATTACGGAAGAGACACTCAGAGGGCAAAGGTCAGCTTATTGGCCCCTGTTATCAAGCCTGGCAGTAAGCCTCCTATATGTATGTCAGAATTTATTAGGTCACGTTAGACAGATGATTCACTTAAAGAATCGATAAAAGGATTTAGCTCAGGCCTCCAACTACGTGATTGGTCATTTATCTTGAAGACTATATCTTTGATAGCAGAATCCAGTCGTGGAACTCAGCAGTGGTTTCATTTTTTTGCTAAATCAGTGATGTCATTGTGTATTCTCCATAAGAATAGATTTGCAGTGAAGGTAATTTTAGAGATACTACTAATTCTTTGTTGTAACTACTTAATCACTATGTAATTCAGCGGAGGCCCTGCACAGTGGGCTTAGTGATTAGACGTATTTCTTTAGTATATCATAAAAGTATGAAATTATAGTAAATTCTGGCGTATCTGTTCGGTTGTTAGCAAATATTTTCCTAAACTAAATCTGTGCAGTATAGAGGTGAATGGCAAACCATGAGTAGCTTATTCAAACCGGCAATTTATTCAGTTTGGTTATATGAATTTAAAACACACAGACACACACATGTTTGTATTTATATCTTTGTGGGGACCGTTCCTTCATTTCCCTGGGAAAAACCTTAATCCCAGCACTGACAACCTTAACCTCTAACCAACCCTAACCTTAACCATAAGTAACCACACAAAATTAAAGATTTTTGGCATTTTCAGTTTTTTGATTTGTGGTCACAGGTTATTATGATATTGAGTTTCCCAAAAAGGTGGTCCCCACAACGTAATATACACATACCCCCCCCACACACACACAGACAAAATCATGAATTTCAAAAATTATAAACTTAAAAGTTTGCTGTCAGTGTACTGTGTCTTAAAATTGGAATGTATGTACTATAAGGAGATTTTTTTAAACATGTCATAATATTAGAGATTTACTATACACAGTTGTAAATAGTACAGTACAGTTACACATTGTAAGTACAGTTACACATTGCTGATAACCTGACAACTGCATGACAGAGTCTTCAATATTTCATGCTAACATATAAATAATATCAAATAATTTTCAGTTATTTCTCTTATTTTCTATCACCTGGTTAATGAACCAATGCACTCGTTTCTATTAGATATCATGTTCTTGTTAGCCTCAGAAAAAACTGATTTAGTTTTCCTTGCAGTATTTAAGATAAAATTTCTACGAAATTCATTATCTGTATTGAGATATACAGCATGGACAAGGACTGCATCTTAAAGTGCTGACAGCAAACAGTGATGCAGTGGTGTCTTAAAGTGCTGACAGCAAACAGTGATGCAGTGGTGTCTTAAAGTGCTGACAGCAAACAGTGATGCAGTGGTGTCTTAAAGTGCTGACAGCAAACAGTGATGCAGTGGTGTCTCGTAGTACGTTGCTGCAGCTGCTGTCAGCTTTAATAAATCTTGCTTAAACTCCATTTTCATAATCCTGGTCTGCGCTTTGTCACATCAGGTAGTAACTTGTACTGCTACACATCTCTGAATTTACAGGGCTGTCTGCATATTACATTTGCGTGTTTAGTAAATACCCTCAAGCCTGTTACTGTTGCCATCATCAGCAGTTTTGTAAGCACTGAACACAGGGAAAAAAAATATATTAAAGAAATAATAAGCTGGATTTTGCATAGGGACTTCGCCTAAGGTATGGTGTTCATTTGAGAATCAAAATTAATTATTCAGCAGCTATATTTTTGTGAGTATTCATACCAAGTGCCCACCACACACAATTTCACATACAGATTTACATATTACTAGCACCAGAATTTGTATCCTTTTTATTTCTGTTGGGCTTGATTAGTTTAAAAGAATGTCATCTAGTAAATCCATTACCTCCTTCATGTTTGGCTTCCTGAGACTATTTCATGTAATGTGCTCACCATTTGATGGTCTCTGTTGGCCTGTGGATAGTCGCTTAGGAGACGGAGACAGTCTGAAATCAATTACACTGATACTCCCATTGTAGGTCTCTGCACAAGTAAGTAGTTGGTAACCATGGTGAAACTCTGCCTGTTCTTCAGAACCCGCCTTCCTCTGTATCTATATGAACAGGGTTGCCAACTTTTGGTTAGCTGGCTGGAGTGAGATTTTCAATTCCAGACAAGTCTGCACACACATGCACACACATTTACATGTATGTAAGAGCTTTATTACCTTGTAAGTAGTCGGTAGGGTCTGAAAAATACCCCAGTGCTTTTGATGTAGCTAATTTTAGGTCTATAATGGAATAATATAGATTTGCTGTAAGGTTTCTTGCATGAGCGTGAGAGTCTGAAAGCATGAGTGTCATGCCAGATGATACTTGGCAAACCTGTATGAATAAGGAGACAGAGGGTCACTGCAAAGTCAGAGGGTCACTGCAAAGTCAGAGGGTTCACTGCAAATAAGAGCCTTGAATGCAATCAGCGAAACATATTTCAGTATAACTGCGCTCATCTGATGCAGTCAGTTTTGATGCCGTTCATTTTTGTGATTCATGGGGATGGAGTCACGAAGCATTCATGTACTGGATATTAGGTTTGACAGGTGACAGTGAAGTCATCACAAGGGGGAAGGGTTTAAAGACTGACAAGTTGTATGTGTTTTTATAGCACACAGAGGTTGACATTTCTGTTTAAACAACAGCAAAAACACTGTGCAACAGCTCTAAGCAGAACCTGCAACAGATACAATATTATAAGATGCAGACTAATAGATTTACTGTTTATATAGCGTGGTAGAGGAAGCATAGTTCAATTCACCTATAATACAATATACAATCATTTCCTTTATAAAAATAAATCTGACTCCATACCTGCTTGTATCATTAATCTGTGTACTTTGAATGTGTCTAACCACACTGCACCTTCTCCAATTCGATTGCCATGAACAATGTAGATTTCTTTCTCTGGTTGATTTACAGTCTTACTGCTATTTTTATTGTTCTCCAATCCACATGGAAGGCTGGTGCCAATGTGTTGCTGCAGGACATCTATGGAAACTTCCCAATGGACTACACTGTGGAAGGAACTGAGACGAATTACATTCTTATGAAGTACCTGAAAATGAAAAGTAAGTATTTCCTGTGCTGGTTTGTTCAAGCATGGCCAGTCAGAGCCTGAAGGCAACACTGGGTTTTAAAACGGAAATTGACAGTGACTGATCTTGTTAGAGAGAAATGGAGTTTTTTTTTTCTATCCAAAGTTTAACCTATAACTACCTGTTGACAACATAACTTCCCTGACCACTTCTGCTTTATAGTCCCTTCCGAGAATTATTGTTTCCCTCAAAAAAGCAAAGAATGGCATTATTCATCAATAGGGCTGTATCCTCAAGGGTCTGCAAAATTGTACCTTAGCTGTAGGTAAATGTAGCTTTTAAGGTACAGAAATGGACTCTGAGGAACATTTTTGTACCAGTGGGGCTACATGAATGTTGTTTGTACATTGCGAATGAAGCTGCACTAGGGTTGTACCCTTTTTCTGACTGAGTTCAGGTCACTATTTTAACCTCTTGTAGGTATGTTGGCTAAGACCTGGGGGTGGCGCGGTGGTTAGCACTGTTACCTCACTTCTGGGTTCAGATCTTCTTCTGGCCCCATATGTGTGAAGTTTGCATGTTCTCCCTGTGTCCTCTTGGGGTTTCCTCCAGGTACTCCGGTTTCCCCTCACAGTCCAAAAATATGCTGAGGTGAACTGGAGTTACCAAACTGTCCATAGGTATGAATGATTTGTGTACCCTGGGATGAGTTATTCCTTGCCTTGTGCTCTTACCGTCTTAGCATAAGACAAGCAGGTGTGGAAGATGGATGGATGGATGGATGGATGGATGGACATTTTAGGTCTTCAGTATTATATCAGATAGCAACCATCATGAGAATTTGATATAAAATAGATCCACCAATCATAATTAGCACTAAAATGTTTGCGTATACTTATGAAAGAACAGCACATGTGGTTCATAAATGGACATCCATCCATCTTCTAGTCAGAATCACAGGGGGGGGGGGGCTGGAGCCCATCCCAGGCAGCAGAGGGCGTAGCTGCACGTCGTTAGGTCATGGGTAGAAAGCTGCAGGACACCGGGAGGAGATGTGACCTCCAGATACACACTCGAGTGGCCCACACTCCCAGCTCTAGAGGTGTGAGGTAACGGTGCCAACCAATCAGCTTCCACGCCACCCCTTCATCAATTACCTCCACACATAATTACAAAATTAATAGGTTTAATTACAAAAAACTGAAGAAAATGTAGATGTATTTCAAGTACCATTTGGGAATTAAATTTGAGAACATGAAAAAAGTCCTTGGGGGGGGGGCTTTGAAACATTTTTGATGTTTAATTAAAAAAGTGACTTTTTTAAAAATGACGAGGATTACAAGCACATGTTTAGCAGTAAGCTGATGGTAAACAGGCATCCTTTTTTGCCAGCCGTTAGCGCGGCACATGGATAGAAGGCCACGCCCCTGGTTACCTACTGTATGGCAGTTTACTTATATTTTTGCACATCGTTTGCACTGAGGAAACTCAAAAGATACTTATCTGAATTTCCCAAGACTTATTGGAACATCGCTGCTTTATAGCAGAGACGATGCTCGATCTACACCCGGGTACCAGGATTCCCAGGTGTACCATCAGCAGTAAATGATTACCTGTCAAACTGAAATGCTGAATGTCAAGCGAGACGTCCATCTATTACCACTGATGGTGGGAGTCTGAACCATAAAGGATGTCTTATGGTTTTTGCCAGACTCCAGATTACACATCCAGGTTAAATGCGTGTCATGCTCTGCCATCAGTAAGCTCTCAGTGAAGCCTGTCAGCAAACATCAAACACAGACTCTGCCCAGATCCATGGATTCAGGATACAGGCAGCCGACACAGAAACCGTGCCCAAATCTGTCCCAGCGGTATTATCCTAATGTGGAATTAATTGACCGCTAAAGAACTCCTCGATGTAGTCAGCTGACCACGTTGGCTGTAATGTAAGTTAATGTCTGGGCTGCAGGTCAATGCCTGCACTTATGATGAGTGTCTGTACTGGCCCTGCTACCTGGAGGCTCATAGCAGTAATTTGACACAATTATGATACATTGTACATGATTATGTGCAGATGCTGAAATGACTCTGAATTAAAAATAGATTAAAAGCAGGATGCCAAACTTACATTACTCATACTGCCCTTTTATGGAGCGAGGAGTGGGGATGTTAATTAAATGTTTTTTTTTCTTGGTGAAAAAAAAATCCAATCATGCCAGTGATTAAATTAAAAGACTGCCTGATTTTTTTTCTTCCCTATGTATGTAATCATTAATGCGACCCACATCTGTAATGAAGAGGATTCCTGCCTTTCTGAAGCGCGTTCTGCAGGGAGGATGCGTACAGTTCCTCAGCTCTGCTTTGATGCTACAATTCCTTGCAAACCGTCGCTCGCACAGCCCGGCGCTGCCTCCGTAGCCAAGATGAGCAGCCTTGGACTTAGTGTTAAGCCACTAATGGTTTAATTTATTAAACTTAATGACATTATATGGCCAAGGAGTGCTTGTTCATCGAAATAGAGCTTTATAAATGTGCCTATTAGGAGTGATTGCTGGTGCCTTTAGTATTTTAGCTATTGCAACCCACAGTGTTGCCATGGGAACCAATCGAGCTCCCCTTCCAATTGAAAAGAGGATTAGTAAAATTGCTGAGGGATCATTGTCAATATCAACAAGAGTCAGACACTGTGGTTATTAGGGGAGCACATTTCATATATCATTAATCATCAAACAGCTGGGTACAGTACAAGAGATACAATGTAACGTCTCCTACCTGCCCAGAAAGTCTTCCGCATTTTATTTAAATGACGACCATGTTTTAATAAAATGTTCAGATAATTATTATTTACTGTTATTTAAAGTGGTGTTATCTATCCATTAAAGGCAG